TAGCAATCCTCCTCGCCCATTCTTTTTTTTTTAAAGAATGAACTGTAACTAAGATACAGTTCATTCTTTAAAATAATTCTAAAATGAAAATTTAAACTACAAATAGTAAGAAAATATTGATGTGGAAAACACAAGTTCTTAAAAAAAAGAAGTATTCCATGTGAAAGAGAGAGATAAATTTGTAAATTTAAAGGGGGTGTATTGAATCGGGAGTCTGTAGGATTTTTTGGATTTTTAAAATTTGAGTGTAATAAATCTGGATTTTCAAAAATCTTTAAAAATCTTGAGATATTCAATAGTGATTTTCCAAAGTCCTTAAAAATATTGAAGTATTCAACTTAGATTTTATAAATTTTGAGGTATTCAATTCCAAGAGTCTATGAATTTTACTAGTCTATGAATTTTGTTAGATTTTCTTTCAAACAATGCTTACATTTTCACTCATGGAAATTTCTTCTCACAACTCTAGATTTCTATGGACTTTCATCCATTCGTCATCCAACGTCCGTCCATCCATCTGTCTTCCAGCGTCCGTCCGTCCCTCCATCCCTTCGCGAGTTTTTCGTTCGCCCGTCCACGTGCGTCGCCCCATCATCCACCGGCGTTGTTCGTTTCCTACTGTGGTTGTACGGTGATCGGCATCCCTGTTGGACTTTCAAACAGAAGTGATGTTTGGATTCTACATATTTTTCAAACTCTGCATGGTTTCTACGAATTTTTCAAACTCTACATGGATTCTACAAAAAATCAACCAAATTCTACATGGATTCTAGAGATTTTTCAAATTCACTAACTTTTTGAAATCTAAAAAATCTAATAAAATTCTAATTGAATACACTCCCTATGTGTTTATAGTATGTCGTGCTAGGATGATATTGTCGTTTCGCAAATTACGACATGAAAAATGACGGGATTAGCTTCCATTATTATTTTTCATATCTGATAATATGGTCCCATTTAATTATAAAACAATAATGGAACTGAAACAATTAATAATTGAAAATAAAAGTGGGAGAGTCCCTCTGAATTGGGACGGTGCCAAGTTTTGAAACTCATCCAATGATGTGGGACCTGGATTGAAGCCCAAATAATATCATATAAAAAGAGATACTATAAAAATCTAGACAAGCACTTGACATGCTCTTAGACCATGTGTTATGCACCTTGACGGGGACTTGAGATGGTGTATAGAAGTATGAGGTAGGCTATAAAAAATATGTGTGTTGTGGGGCTTGAAAAGGGGCTGTGACAAAAAAGTGATGGGATAAGAATGTGAATTATTTTGATTAATTGAAACAAAAAAAAGGAAAGGCGCCTTCATGGTGGGATGACTATCACCCACAAGGGGCCACGCCCCATCATGACAATGTCGGCACGGTGGAGCAGGCGTGACAGGAGCTTGAAGAAGTGACACACCACGTGCGTCAATCCCCATATAACGGATGGCCTTAGAATAAAATAATTTGAGAACAACTATGAGAATGTATTTGTTGGGTTAAGGAACCCGGGGCCTAGGAGACTAAACGAAAGAGTATCGAACTAAGTCGAGAGTGCATAAGTTGGAAATCTAGTAAGGTTGTAAGTATTAGTGTGCAAGAGAACGTGTCCCATTTCTCTTAAGAAAAAGACTTATATACAAACTACAGATGGGGTTCCCGACCATTGATTCAGAGTCCAACGGGTCGGGCCCACTAAGATTTGGCCGTTTAACCGGCGCCGCCAACCACTTCATTATCCCTAAGGCGGCTATACAAGATAGGTTACAAGTAGGGTGGCTACAACTAATCTGACGGTGGCGTGGCAGGGGTCCAATCGTGGGACCCCCGACTTGACTGGTCAGATAGCTCCCATGCTTGTGGTCCCGGTTCAGTAGCATCCTAGGCCAAGGCCGAGTACACGTGACCTGCTCCCCGAAGTCTTTCGATGAAAGGATGGCCGAGGGTGGTCTGACGCTGAGCGTGTCTGCCGGGGTCGAGTGCATGCAAACCTTGACGCGGCAGCGGCCCTCTGATCTTGAGACTTCAGTTTCTTTTTAGTTCCGCCCAGCTGAGTGGGCTTGAGCCTAGTTGGATTGGGTCGCAATTTCTGTTGGGCCGGATACCCCTATTCCAGGGTATCCATTGGTATTATATATCGGTTTCATTGTCCCGTTCACTTCTTTGTTAGAATAGCATTCCATGTGATTATGTGAAGTGCACCTTATTAAACCAACATATAACACTAGTCATTTCCTACTCAATTCTGCTCAGTACTCACAATTTCAATACTCCATCTATCTAAAAATATTATTTCTCATTTTCTTTTTCTGTTTAGTCAGATTTATTCTTCCATTTAACACCAATCCTTTCAAATTAAAGTAAGGGCATTCTTGGAAGTTTGACATTTTTTTCTACTCCTAGATTAGTGTGCAAGTCACCTAATTAACAAGTTTGTCACGTAAAAATGTTGCAAGTACACACATCCAAGTTTAATTATTTGGATGATTATAGTAGCTAATTTTTTGTTGCGGGATTCAACAGGACTGTCGATTTGTTGTATATAATAGTTGAGTTTGTGGGGGATAGACATGGAATACTATAAAATGTAAGGAGGATCCAAATGTTGTGTACCGCTAGCTCTATTTTCTTTCCATAAGTGTCCCATGACATTTGTTTAATTTTCTCACACACACGAGAGGATTAAGGTACTCCATAATATAATCATCACTAACACATTTTTTTCAATTATAAATAAATAAAAATGTGACATTATATATAACTGTATACTACTCACTGTTCTAAAATGATTTGCCTCCTTACTGTTATAGTTGTTAATCACGCTCAGTGTCTGTTAGAGATTTTATTGAGTAGGGTCAACTCAAAAGGTAAAGAAGAAAAAAAAAATAAAACAATGACTATGCATTAGAAAGGATTCAAACCCTAGTTTGTGGCTATGGTTTCCACCTCCACAACCACATCCGCCACCCAAACAAGTAATTTTACTACTCCGTAATACATATGCACTATCTTATTCCAATCCAGTGGGTGCAATTGCACCCACTTGACCTAATGTGGCTCTGCCACGAGTCACACTCATAATTTTTGAATAGACATAATAGGAAAAGGGACCGCGAGGCGGCCATGATATGTGGTGGTCTACCGTCAACGATGAAGATCAGCAGTGGCGCATGATCAAAAAGAATGGAGGTTAGCTTTTTGAGAAGAGAAATCTTCGCTCTGATACCATGATATAATTTGATAATAATAGATTTTATTGTATAATGAAAGTTTTGTCATTATGTATAAAGACATAAAATGTCTTAATTAGAGCTAGTAGAATATCTAACTATGATAACAAAAGAATAAGAAAGTAAATAATAATATTTTATTTCTTTTTATTCTTAATATTCCTAATATTAATGAACCGAGCAGTTACTGGGCTGAAGGTCCCAAAGCCAACATGATTTGGCATTCACTTTAAAGTGGAGAGATCATTTAAGTTCAAAAAAGTACTCCGTAGCATATAGTGAAAGAAGGAAGAGATGAGTCCACATTTTTGAAGATACGTTGTTTACCATTGGTGGAGCTACAAATTTAACAATAGTTACCCTTTGTTTGTAATTTCGGATGGGATAAGAAATTAATGAGAAAGAAAATGGTGGGGGAAAAAAGCGAATAGAAAAAATGGGAGGAAAATAATTGTTGTTTGAATGATTAGAAAATGGTGAGAAAAGAAAAAATAAAGAAAAGACACATTTTCTCAACAACAAAAAAAGAAAAGATAAAGGATGCGGAAAGTAGAAGGGCAATTTTGTCATTTCATACCTTTTCTCTCTAAACTCACATTTTTCTCACGGTTGGAGCTGAGAAAATTTTTTCCGTTCCCAAAACCCTCTTTTTTCTCCTCTCCATTTTTTCTTGCAACCAAACAGAAGAAATTTCCTCGAAATTCGTGTTTTCTCGCTCTTCTTTTTCTTTCTTTCTCCATTTTCTGACTATCCACACAGCATGTTAAAGAATGATTTATTTTCTCGGTCATTTCTAAAGAAGCCTCGAAATGCTCATTTATTTTTGGCTTTGATTGTTCGAAACATGTCGTCGGGTCGCGAGGCTCAATAGCGGCTTGCAAGCTTGGCCGGGGGCTTGATTAATACACAACCCAAGTTTGACCAACTCAATTTTCTAACGATTAGAACTCTTTCAAGTTTGGCATCTTCAGAGATTAGTGCTAACATTTTGAAAAAAACTATCTGACCGTAGCTTTTTGCGTAAGCATTTTCAAAATTAACCTAGACCTTTTAGATTTTATCCAAAACGCTAATCAAAAAAATTATTTCTAAACAAGGCCAAAATATCACAAATTTAATTTAAATAATAAAGATAAAGTAACAAAAAGAACTTTAAATTAGCTTTCATTGATGGCAACAATACTCAAACCATGTTTTTCAGGAGCTTTTTTTTGTAATTTTCAATAATATATTTACTAAACATCAAGTTCCCCTAAAAAAATGTGAAGTTCACAAGTAATTTCGAATGTTCTAAAAATAGAAAGCAAACAATAAAATCAACAAGGATGATGTAATTGATTTTTTTTACTGAGAAAACAATTAGCAATCTCTAAGACCTTACGTGGGAACAATATTTTCAATTCCTTTTAGCAACACCAATAACCCAGTAGACGAGGGTGTGCGTATGCCGACCTTACCTCTACCACACACACCCTCCCCAGACTCTGCTATTGCTGGTTTCTATTGGGTTATTGTTGCTAATGCTAATTTAAAATGTTGTTCCCAAATAAGATCTATAAGTATGCTAATTTATTATATAAAAAAAATACTAAAACAAAACGCTTTTATTTAAAAAAAAAAGATTAGAATTAAACATGGAAATTACGCCCAAACGGACAGTGAAGTTATTTTCGGTGGGGCATAAAAAAAATGGGGCAGTGTGGGTAGTGATGATATATGGCCAATGGCGTCGCATGCAATGCAATGGCAACGCAACGTGGCAAGAAAGAACGGAGACAAGAAATTGGCAGTTCAAAAGCGTATTTGTGATGACACCAAACACGCAAATCTCCTGTCTCCATCTCTCATCTCCTCTATATATAGATATATACGTGCACCTATAGAGAGAGAGAGATGGCGGCAAAGGGTGGCGGCGGACATGGCGGCGGGGGAGGAGCTGGAGGGAGCAGGGCGGGAAGATCGTACGCGATGGTGTTGATGGTGGCGTTTGGGGCAGCCATTGTTGGGGTTATGATCCTTTACAAGTTCAGAGAGAGGCGCATCTTCAACCTTGTCCTTCGGGACAAAGACACTCAGCTCCTCTCCCTTCACCTCCTTTTGCAGGTCTGTATCNCCCCCCCCCCCCCCCCCCCCCATATGTAATGAGTGCTTGCATGTGTTAGTAAACATAAATAAACATCTCAAACCTGGTTTGGTTTTTAATGGAGTGTTTGGGTAGTAGTGTTTGGTAGGGGAATATGATTTGACTGCATCTGGGAAACTATTTCATGAGAAAACAGTTCTTTCCAAACCGGACACTAGCAATAGCATTTGTGTGTTTTGGTGATGAATGTTGACTGATGATGTGTGACAAATTTGGTGCGTGTTGCAGAAGGAGAAAGAGAATGCAAAAGATGCTAAAAGGCAAATGGACGATCTGAAAGCGAAAATGCACAAGCTTCGGGGTAAGAAGGCGGACCTTGAAGCCAGAATCATGGAGATGGAGTCCACCATTTCTTCCCTCAGAGAAGAGCAGAAGACGATCTCGTCTTCGCTCAAGGAGAAGAAGAAGGAGATCAAGGTGCTGATGGACTACAAGCGAGGGCAGAACCGAGAAACTGCCCGGCTCATGGCCCTGTCCCAGGAGCTTCAGAAGAAGGCAGCAGAGATCGAAGAGCTGAGGCTGCGCGTCGACTTGCCGCCGCCGGCAGTCAAGGTCTGGTCAGTCAGTTCTGACGACCCGTCAAGCCTGCCGGCCAATTTCACCACCAAAGCCGCCAGACAAGAAGAAGAGGTCAGGAAAGAAAACGGCCGCGGCAAAAGTGCAGAAATTTCATCACAGATGCACAGTCAGAATGAGACTGCTGAGTCGCAACAGGTTTCTGAAAACGGGGGCACCACTTTGGTAGGCGGAGGAGGCGATCAGTCAAGAAATGGGGTTGAGTATGAAAGCACGGGAAGAAGAGTTCGAAGGATGGGGAGGAGGAGGAGGATAAATGATGGTAACAGAGATGCTGCTTCTTCTTCTGATACTGCTCTGAAATCTGAAAATGGAGTTGAAAGTGTGAGAAGCGGGAAATCACTGCCAGAAAGTGAACGAAAACGGGGGAGCAATGAACTTGGTCTTGACGAAACAAACGGGGAGATGTACGGAAGAGAAAAGAATGGTAGAAGCAATGTGCAGAAGAAGTTACCTGCCAATTCAAGAGCTGTTGATGACAGCAAATTACTGAACAAACCTGAAAATTAGAAGCCAGAAGAGAGAACCAACATCACAAGGGAAAACAAAGGTCAGAGGCCCGAAACTTCAAGCATTATTATTATTACTGAAAAGAAGGTAGAAGAAGAAGATGGTTAGGAAACATTAAAGGAAGCAGAAACCTCTAGCCAGTCAGCCTTGGGTGCAGATGACATCTTTATGTCACTACCAAATAATAAATGCTTTAACTCATGTTATTGTTAGAAAATTTCTTTGTTTCTTTCTTTTTTATATTACCAAGTACGGAGTATCATTTAGTCTTGTGTGAAATTATCATTGAGTCTTTTATATGCAAGGGATTGCAAATTGAGCTCAGAACACCAAGTCAACTAAACCAACAATGATGCCGTCGAAAACAAACATGTGCAATAGTTTAGGAGATTTATCAAGGCATAAGCACATCTAAAAGAGGAAAGACCAAAACATTGATTGGTATCTGAAATAACTGCATTATTGTTATTGCTTGTAATATCGGCATCATCGCTAATGCATCACAAGATTCCAGCTTTACTGAGACGCTTGCACCACTGTCTGTAAAATGGGAAAAAAAAGTCCAGTTAAAGATAGTTAAAGAGACCATTCGGCGAGATAAGCAACGATAGAAGTTTTTAATCTCCCAGATCCTCTGAAATGCACTCATGCACTGAAATCTCTTCCTCATCCTTATATTAAGAGACCAATATGGCCATAAGCATGGGCCCACCAAGTCAACTACCCAGTCTAGATAGCCTCCAATATTTGCGGGCTGACCACAATATCATCTATGCTAGCATAGTAGGTTTGTGAGAGTGGTCAAAATTGTTTGTCAGAATTAGATTACCTCAAAATTTCCCCCAACTATAAACTTTAACCTGGGTATAGAAGATAACTGCTAAGATGGAGTAAAAGAACTTTTTTATCTTGAAAGTTCAGATCAGGTCAAATTTTTTAAGATAAAGAAAACATGTACTGAGTCTAACTATACCACAATGTCAATACCAGATGCTCAGCTCTTCATCACATGTTCATCAAGAAGAATACTTATATATCGTTTTCCATAGTATCTAGTAAAAAACTACTTGTATTTTGTTTCATGCTTTTATATATATATATATATATATATATATATATATATATATATATATATATATATATATATATATATATATATATATATATATATATATATATATATATAGACACACACACAAGCTAGTATTTGGTGCCAAGTTGATAGAGAGTAAAGAGACACTAGAAAAGAAAGTGATCTCATTAAATTGAAAGAAATTTTTAAAAAATGCAGTAAACTAGCTTCAGAGAGACTCTCCAAGAGTCTTGAAGGCCTTATCAAGTAAGATGTTCTTGCAACAACAATACCAAACTAAGACTAAAGCATGCTTCGTATACAAAATAGGACATTCCATGAATTTATACCAAAATAGAATTTATTATGTCAAATAATGCCAAAAAACCTGGTGGAATGCCAACACAAATGCCAAATTGTGGGAGTTTCACAATGTCAACACTCCTATTTAGGCGATAAAGTATCGGTCTTATTTTGGTAGAAGTTATATGTTTTAATCTTATTTAAGTAGATTTCTTATGATAATTGTCTTAAAGATTTTGCCGGCCTCTTTTTACCAATAGAGGGTTTATTTCTAGCCTAATGCATCTTATTGCCAAACTAAAATAAATTGCATAGCAATCAAGATGCTAATCAATTACCCTTCACTTTACCCTACTCAAAAGTCCACCTTTCTTGCTAACAGGTTCCCTGAAAATGCTAAAATCTAATCAAAGATCCACATTTCCATGCTACGTTTCTAATTAGTTTCCAGCTTCCTTTTTTTTATTCCAAAGTGGTTGCTATCACTCTCACACACTAGAAAACTGCTTTGTGAACAAGGATGGAGGAAGAAGGTTAGTCATAGTCCAAGAGATCAAATTGTAATCTCTTTCCCCTATCATAAATCTTGATTGTTTTCCAAACTTGGGCCATTAAAGCCTCAACTAATGTTCCATCTCCTGATCCCCAGGATTTGGGTTATCACTTTTACTACTTGAACCAGACCAGACGTATTTCCCCTTGCCAGAAACGTGAGACTTTCTTTCAAATTTTTCTTAGTCATCTTCCTTCAATGCTCTTATATTTTATTAAGACTTAAGACACTTCTATCATATTCTATGTATTTTCCTATATTTCTTTGATAACACAGTGAGTGGTGAAATGGATACAGGTAGCGTGAGGGCTGATGGTGACATTAGAGACAAGGCACAGCTTGTCTTGGAGTTGAGATATTTATGAGTTTCCAAGTTGCATAAGAAGTATTTGGCTTTGCCAATCAATCCAAGTTCTTTTTGTTAGGCTTGTTGTAGGTTCCCACATATTGGGTTCCGTTTTGAGTTTCTGTTGTGCCCATTAGGTGAGTAATGGCAAGATGCTAAGTTAGAAGTTCTGATACCTTTTTGTTGAGCTTGTCCTGGAGCTCCTTTTAAAAATGGTCAAGAAGACAAGATGATAAAGGGTTGTTGGTATTGGAGTCTATCTTTCATGAGATCCTCATCCTCCCTTATGTATTTAAGGTCAAACTACTTCTCAACCTTTGCAACCAATCCAATAGGAGTACTCACATTAAAATTTAGAGGTTCATTAGTGTGTGTGGGGGGGGGGGGGGG